TGGCACAGGAATCCACATCTCTCCCAAGTGGACATTCTCTCTTTCCCCCCTGACCCATCTGTCTATCTCCTCATTTGAATTTCATGCTGTCACAGTCACTAGCACATTCAAGCTTAACATCCTTGTCATTTATCGCCCTCCAGGTTCCCTTGGAGAGTTCATCAATGAGCTTGACGCCTTGATAAGTTCCTTTCCTGAGGATGGCTCACCCCTCACAGCTCTGGGTGAGTTTAACCTCCCTACATCTGCCTTTGACTCATTTCTTTCTGCCTCCTTTCCACTCCTTTCCTCTTTTGACCTCACCCTCACACCGTCCCCCCCTACTCACAAGGCAGGCAATACGCTTGACCTCCAAGTCTCCGACCACTACTTCGTATCCTTTTCTCTCTCGCTCTCCTCCAACACTACTCACTCTGCCCCTACTCAGATGGTAATGTGCCGTCGCAACCTTCGCTCTCTCTCTCCCGCTACTCTCTCCTCTTCCATCCTATCATCTCTTCCCTCTGCTAAATCCTTCTCCCTCCATTCTCCCGATTCTGCCTCCTCAACCCTCCTCTCCTCTCTCTCTGAATCTTTTGACTCTCTATGTCCCCTATCCTCCCGGCCGGCTCGGTCCTCCCCTCCTGCTCCGTGGCTTGACGATTCAATGCGAGCTCACAGAACAGGGCTCCGGGCAGCCGAGCGGAAATGGAGGAAAACTAGACTCCCTGCGGACCTGTCATCTTTCCACTCCCTCCTCTCTACATTCTCTTCCTCCGTTTCTGCTGCTAAAGCCACTTTCTACCACTCTAAATTTCAAGCCTCTGCCTCTAACCCTAGGAAGCTCTTTGCCACCTTCTCCTCCCTGCTGAATCCTCCTCCTCCTCCCCCTCCCTCTCTGTGGATGACTTTGTCAACCATTTTGAAAAGAAGGTTGACGACATCCGATCCTCATTTATTAAGTCAAATGACACCACTGGTCCTGCTCTCACTGCCCTACCCTATGCTTTGACTTCTTTCTCCCCTCTCTCTCCAGATGAAATCTTGCGACTTGTGACGGCCGGCCACCCAACAACCTGCCCGCTTGACCCTATCCCCTCCTCTCTTCTCCAGACCATTTCCGGAGACCTTCTCCCTTACCTCACCTCGCTCATCAACTCATCCTTGTCCGCTGGCTATGTCCCTTCCATCTTCAAGAAAGCGAGAGTTGCTCCCCTCCTCAAAAAACCTACACTCGATCCCTCCAATGTCAACAACTACAGACCAGTATCCCTTCTTTCTTTTCTCTCAAACTCTTGAGCGTGCCGTCTATAGCCAACTCTCCTGCTATCTCTCTCAGAATGACCTTCTTGATCCAAACCAGTCATGTTTCAAGACTGGTCATTCAACTGAGACTGCTCTTCTCTGTGTCACGGAGGCTCTCCGCACTGCTAAAGCTAACTCTCTCTCCTCTGCTCTCATCCTTCTAGACCTCTCTGCTGCCTTTGATACTGTGAACCATCAGATCCTCCTCTCCACCCTCTCCGAGTTGGGCATCTCCAGCGCGGCTCACTCTTGGATTGTGTCCTACCTGACAGGTCGCTCCTACCAGGTGGCGTGGCGAGAATCTGTCCCCGCACCACGTGCTCTCACCACTGGTGTCCCCCAGGGCTCAGTTCTAGGCCCTCTCCTATTCTCTCTATATACCAAGTCACTTGGCTCTGTCATATCCTCACATGGTCTCTCCTATCATTGCTACACAGACGACACACAATTAATCTTCTCCTTTCCCCCTTCTGATAACCAGGTGGCGAATCGCATCTCTGCATGTCTGACAGACATATCAGTGTGGATGTCCGATCACCACCTCAAGCTGAACCTCGGCAAGACGGAGCTGCTCTTCCTCCCGGGGAAGGACTGCCCGCTCCATGATCTCGCCATCAACTCGTCAACAACTCCATTGTGTCCTCCTCACAGAGTGCAAAGAACCTTGGCGTGACCCTGGACAACACCCTGTCGTTCTCCGCTAACATCAAAGCAGTGACCTCAAGACGCCAGGACAGCGGAGTCACTGACCATCTTACGGAGACACTTGAAACCCTACCCCTTTAAGGAATACCTGGGATAGTATAATAGTAATCCTTCTAATCCTTCCTTCTATCTAATTATAATAAATATTAAAATATATATATATATATATATATATATATATATATATATATATATATATATATATATAAAACTCATGAAAATTTAAAATATACTCTAAAAATTAACAAATTAGATGCACCAATTTGTAAGTCGCTCTGGATAAGAGCATCTGCTAAATTATGTAAATGTAAATGTATATCCTAACATCACTTTGCCGGGCTAAGACTCAACATCAAAACTTAAAAGAACAGACAACAACGCTTCTTTTTCACCACTCACGACACTCGGTCTGTGTCGCACCAAACGACGAGCATCACCAACCCCAGTAATCACTCCTTTCAATGGCACCCTTTTCTTGAGAGCAAAACAATTCACATTTCTTGTCCCCATTCGTTTAACGCGGAGCGCCTGCTCCCTCTGACCAGCAGTAACACAAACAATTATCACCAGACCACTTCTGGTTACCTTCACCAATTCCACAGCACCCAACTCTGTTTTCCCCCACCCTGAAACCACAAATGTATCAGCCAAAAGGCAAGGGTCCACTTTTTCAAAAAATGTCACTCCTACCGTCACAGAATATCCTGACCCTCGGTGCAAGCCTCGGGCTGTGAGAACGTCACCACACCTACCCCCTCTGATACTTCACCCTCACTCACTTCCATTTCTCCTCCTGTCTTCGATCTGGTGTACAGCTCACTCTGCTTACACTTTCTACCATTCGTCTTTAACAAACCATCTCCCTTTTCCCCGCATTTTTTAACAGATTCAAGCTCACCCTCTTCCTCCCTCTCTTCGACCTCCTCTGCCTCTCTTTTTCCCTCCATTCCTCAAGTATTCGTCTCCTTATGATAATACTGCACTTCTCCTGACATACACTATATATACAAAGGTATGTGGACACCCCTTCAAATTAGTGGATTCGGCTATTTCAGCCACACCCGTTGCTGACAGGTGTATAAAATCGAGCGCATAACCATGCAATCTCTATGGACAAACAGTGGCCTTACTGAAGAGCTCAGTGACTTTCAACTTGGCACCGTCATAGGATGGCACCTTTCCAACAAGTCAGTTAGTCAGATTTCTGCCCTGCTAGAGCTGCCTCGGTCAACTGTAAGGGCTGTTATTGTGAAGTGGAAATGTCTAGAAGCAACAACGGCTCAGCCGATAAGCGGTAGACCCACAAACTTACTGAATGGGACCTCCGAGTGCTGAAGCGCGTAAACATCGTCTGTCCTCGGTTGCAACACTCACTACCGAGTTCCAAACTGCCTCTGGAAGCAACGTCAGCACAAGTAAGAACTGTTCGTCGGGACCTTCATGAAATGGATTTCAATGGCCGCGCAGCCGCACACAAGCCTAAGATCACCATGCGCAATGCCAAGTGTCAGCTGGAGTGGTGTAAAGCTCGCCGCCATTGGACTCTGGAGCAGTGGAAACGCGTTCTCTGGAGTGACGAACCACGCCTCACCATCTGGCAGTCCGACGGACTAATCTGGGTTTGGCGGATGCCAGGAAAACGCTACCTGCCCGAATGCATAATGCCAACTGTAAAGTTTGGTGGAGGAGGAATAATGGTCTGGGGCTGTTTTTCATGGTTCGGGCTAGGCCCTTTAATTCCAGTGAAGGGAAATCTTAACGCTACAGCATTCAATGACATTCTAGACGATTCTGTGCTTCCAACTCTGTGGCAACAGTTTGGGGAAGGCCCTTTCCTGTTTCAGCATGACAATGCCCCTTTGCACAAAGCGAGGTCCATACAGAAATGGTTTGTCGAGATCGGTGTGGAAGAACTTGACTGGCCTGCACAGAGCCCTGACCTCAACACCATCGAACACCTTACGATATAAAAACGGCTGCATTGGGCATTTAAACTGAAAATGGTCTTATTCTTATTTGATTGTTTTGTATGGAAGGCCATTCCCTTGTCAACAAATGTTTTTAATGACTTCAAGTTACGAGATATTAGGCATCACATGTTTTGTTCGTATTTTAATATTTTGAAAAATCTCTAAATATTTGAGATTGTTCCTCATAACTTGAAGTCATAATTGTGGCGGGAATGGTGGCGGGAATAGATTGTTGATCAGATACTTTCTTTTTACTTTTGGCAAATCAATCAATGTTTCTCAAACTTTTTTCTACCATGGACCGGCAGCTGGGGTGCTTCCTCCTTGGGGGACCACTTACATTAAAATTTGAGCACTTGAGCACAAAATCAGTGTCAGCTAAACATCAGCTAAACATCTGCTAAACATCTAAACATCAGAATAAGGGATGGCAGGTAGCCTTGAGGTTAGAGCGTTGGGCCAGTAACTGTAAAGGTTGCTGGTTTGAATACTGGAGTTGACAAAGTAAAAAAATAATATAGATATTTCGCTGTACCCTTGAGCAAGGCCCTTAGCCCTAATTGCCCCAGGGGTCCTGTACGATTGTGGCCCAACTCCCTGTGGGTGTCTCAGGGGGAGTTGGGATATGCAAAACAACACATTTCCATGATGCACTTGTGTGTAACAGGACAAATATAAGCACCCCCCAAATAATGATTATCACAGGGTTTAATCTCTCGTGGACAAACTACATAACATAAATGGTATGGAGGATCTGACGCAATTACGCAAGATTTCAGATCTGGGTTTCCGAGATTAGGCAGGTTTTAGGCCTTCTCTGTCTGTCCAGTAGGTGGTAGTAATTCACCATTAAAGTTGTTTAAAATAGAAGAAGAGGCAGGAGCAGAAGAAGAAAAAAAAATGGTGGCAGTGTGCAGGGCATAGCTCATCTTTGAGAAAGCAACTACGTCTGTTAGCCGGGAGAGGGCCTGGGTTTATTGCATGGGGAGTGTGGAAAGCCTATGTAGTTTAATTTTATTCTCAGTGGTTCTTATACTTGCCATGTCTACCAACGTTGATTGTGGAGGTGAAAAGCTTGCGTCTGTAGATTTCGAGATATTCGGGAATGTCCAGGGTAGGTAGGAATACTAGGCTACCCAGCGCATGTTCAGCTGGCTGCCTTGGGGATCTGAGCCTGTATGTAAAAACGTCAACTCACACAATGCACACTGCCTGAAGTAGATTCACTGAGTAGGCAAGTTTTGTTACAATTTTCACTGTGCAACCGAAACATAGCATGCTGCTATCCATATTTTCAAATGCAATTGTTTTCCTCTATGGCATGGTGCAAGTTAGACCTTTTGACTCCAATGCATTACATTACATTGCGTTGGAGTTATTGAATATTGCTGAGGGGAATTGATCAAGGCATGAAATGCTGTATCTAAAGACAATTGATCCATTGCAAACTTAATTCTCATCCAAAAATAACTTTACAAATACAAAAAATACACTTCTTCTCCTGGTCTTTTTGTGTGTAACACAGCTTCGAGACAATGTTTTTTTTTTTTTTTTTGCCTTCCGAGATTCCATTAGCTCAGGAAGTGTCATAGTTCAGGTACATGTGCAACGCAAAACACCTCCATTAGAATCTGTTAAAACAGTGCACAGTAAGTGTATCTTTTGTATTTGTAAAATTATTTTGGGGTGATATGAAAGAATTTCGGATGTTTCCAAAACTCTATTGCACGCGTCAGGACTGTTGTACACAGTGGCCGTGCTGTGGTCAATGGCTTGAATGATAACCAAAGAGGGCTGGGTATGGCCCCTTGGATTCTCGACAGCTTCTAGTCTCTGAAAGCAGACAAGACCAGTGGATCAAGTCAATAAAGCAAGATATAACTAGTCTGGAATATTTCAATATGATTTACCCTTATTTATTTTGTTTATTTTGTTCTTACAGGTGTTTGCTTCAGAATGGTGAGCAACTTAACTTACATTTTCCTCAACATGCAAAAGGCTATTGCATTTTTTTTATAATACTAATTGAAAATAAAAGTAGAACAAAATATATATTTTAAAACCCATCACATTCCATTTTGATTTGCAATGTGTGTTAGTATTTTCCAGTCTTTCATCAACCTTTATTCTTCTTGTGTTCTGTGTTCCATACATATTGATCAAGTGAAGTGTGTTAGTATTTTCATGTAGCCTACATACTGTGTAGAGAATTGGTTCAGTTTCTAAGATACATTGTACAGTGTTATCTTTATAAGAAGATAACCCCAGTTAGTGCACTAATATTACACCCCTTGTGCTGTTTTTCCTTTGGTTCTGTGTTTTCCAGTACACAGAAGACCAGGGGAAGAAGCTGGGTGTTAATGGCTGGGTGAAGAATACAAGAGAAGGAACAGTCGTTGGCCAGGTACAGGGGCCCCATGACAAGGTCAATGAAATGTAAGTCCACTCTGAGATATACAATACAATTCATTAGACAGGACACGATTCAATGAACCACTCCATTGCAATGTATAGGCAATGTCTTTATTTACAAACTACTGCATACCAGAAGAGGCTAGTGGGAGGAGCTATAGGAGGACGGGCTCATTGTAATGTCTGGAATCAGACACCCGAGGGGCGGGTCTACCTGTTTATTTACTTTATTTTATTTTTTACAGCACCCCAATCTGTTGTGGGTGTTTTTACATGATACTGTGTAAATACTGCAATGCTGGTTCAAAGGAATTTAGCCATCAGCATCACAACACTCAACCAATATGTTTTATTTTCCATTACCATTTAAAGAAATTTTGCGCCACAGAGAGACATAACATATTATAAACCTTATTCTAATCATAAAGGCTCATACATGCTTTTAACAAGTAATACCACTTCATACTTGTAAGTAAAGTGTTTAATGATGCCTATACTACATGTATCAAATCAAATTGTATTTGTCACAAGCTCCGAATACAACAGGTGTAGACCTTACACAGGTGAAGACCGGCTGACTCCGGTAAGACAAGCGGTGGCGGTCTGTGTATATTTGTAAACAACAGCTGGTGCACGAAATCTAATATTAAGGAAGTCTCAAGGTTTTGCTCGCCTGAGGTAGAGTATCTCATGATAAGCTGTAGACCACACTATTTACCAAGAGAGTTTTCATCTATATTTTTCGTAGCTGTCTATTTACCACCACTAACCGATTCTGGCACTAAGACTGCACTCAATGAGCTGTACAAGGCCATAGGCAAACAGGAAAACGCTCATCCAGAGGCAGCGCTCCTAGTGGCCGGGGACTTTAATGCAGGGAAACTTAAATCCGTTCAACCTAATTTCTACCAGCATGTTAAATGTGCAACCAGAGGAAAAAAAACTCTAGACCACCTTTACTCCACACACAGAGACACATACAAAGCTCTCCGCTCTCCATTTGGCAAATCTGACGATAATTTTATCCTCCTGATTCCTGCTTATAAGCAAAAACTAAAGCAGGAAGCACCAGTGACTTGGTTAATAAGGAAGTTGTCAGATGATGCAGATGCTATGCTATAGGACTGTTTTGCTAGCACAGCCTGGAATATGTTCCGGGATTCTTCCGATGGCATTGAGGAGTACACCACATCAGTCACTGGCTTCATCAATAAGTGCATCGATGAAGTCGTCCCGACAGTGACCGTACGTACCCCAACCAGAAGCCATGGATTACAGGCAACATCCACACTGAGCTAAAGGGTAGAACCATCAAACAGGCAAAGAGTCAGTACAGGACTAAGATTGAATCGTACTACACCGGCTCCGACGCTTGTCGGATGTGGCAGGGCTACAAAGGGAAGCACAGCCGCGAGCTGCCCAGTGACACGAGCCTACCAGACAAGCTAAATCACTTCTATGCTCGCTTCGAGGCAAGCAACACTGAAGCATGCATGAGAGCATCAGCTGTTCCAGATGACTATGTGATCACGCTCTCCGTAGCCGATGTAAGACTTTTAAGACGGATTACCAGGACGCGTACTCTGAGCATGCGCTGACTAATTTGCAAGTGTCTTCAGTGACATTTTCAATATGTCCCTGACTAAGTCTGTAATACCAACAGGTTTCAAGCAGACCACTATAGTCCCTGTGCCCAAGAACACTAAGATAACCTGCCTAAATGACTACCGACCCGTAGCACTCACGTCTGTAGCCATGAAGTGCTTTGAAAGGCTGGTCATGGCTCACATCAACACCATTATCCCAGAAACCCTAGACCCACTCCAATTTGCATACCGCCCCAACAGATCCACAGATTATGCAATCTCTATTGCACTCCACACTGCCCTTTCCCACCTGGACAAGAGGAACACCTATGTGAGAATGCTATTCATTGACTACAGCTCACCGTTCAACACCATAGTGCCCTCAAAACTCATCACTAAGCTAAGGACCCTGGGACTAAACACCTCCCTCTGCAACTGGATCCTGGACTTCCTAACGGGCCGCCCCCAGGTGGTAAGGGTAGGTAACAACACATCTGCCACGGTGATCCTCAACACGGGGGCCCCTCAGGGGTGCGTGCTCAGTCCCCTCCTGTACTCCCTGTTCACCCATGACTGCATGGCCAGGCACGACTCCAACACCATCATTAAGTTTGCCAACGACACAACAGTGGTAGGCCTGATGACCTACAACGATGAGACAGCCTATAGGGAGGAGGTCAGAGACCTGGCCATGTGGTGCCAGGATAACAACCTCTCCCTCAATGTGATCAAGACAAAGGAGATGATTGTGGACTACAGGAAAAAAAAAAAAGAGGACTGAGCACACCCCATTCTCATCGACAGGGCTGTAGTGGAACAGGTTGAGAGCTTCAAGTTCCTTGGTGTCCACATCACCAACAAACTATCATGGTCCAAACACACCAAGACAGTCGTGAAGAGGGCACGACAAAGCCTATTCCCCTTCAGGAGACTGAAAAGATTTGTCATGGGTCCTCAGATCCTGAAAAAGTTCTACAGCTGCACCATCGAGAGCATCCTGACTGGTTGCATCACTGCCTGGTATGGCAACTGCTCGGCCTCCGACCGCAAGGTACTACAGACAGTAGTGCGTATGACCCAATACATCACTGGGGCCAAGCTTCCTGCCATCCAGGACCTCTATACCAGGCGGTCAGAGGAAGGCCCTAAAAATTCTGAAAGACTCCAGCCACCGTAGTCATACTGTTCTCTCTGCTACCGCATGGCACGCGGTACCGGAGCGCCAAGTCTAGGTCCAAAAGGCTTCTTAACAGCTTCTACCCCCAAGCAATAAGACTCCTGAACAGCTAATCATGGCTACACAGACTTTTTTACTTAACACTTATTTTTCTTAAAACTGCATTGTTGATTAAGAGCTGTAAGTAACCATTTCACAGTATGGTCTACACCTGTTGAATTCGGCGCATGCGGCAAATACAATTGTATTTTATTTTATTTTAAATGCTTACTTACAAACCCTTAGCCAACAATGCAGAGTTTTTTAAAACTAAGTAAGAAACATTAGCTAAATAAACTAAAGGAAAAATAGTAACACAATAAAATAACAATTACGAGGCTATACACAAGGGGTACCGGTACTGAGTCTGTGCAGGGGTACGGGGTTAGTTGAGGTATTTAGGTAATACAGTGAGGGAAAATAGTATTTGATCCCCTGCTGATTTTGTACGTTTGCCCACTGACAAAGAAATGATCAGTCTATAATTTTAATGGTAGGTTTATTTGAACAGTGAGAGGTAGAATAACAACAACAAAATCCAGAAAAACGAATGTCAAAAATGTTATAAATTGATTTGCATTTTAATGAGGGAAATAAGTATTTGACCCCCTCTCAATCAGAAGGATTTCTGGCTCCGAGGTGTCTTTTATACAGGTAACGAGCTGAGATTAGGAGCACACTCTTAAAGGGAGTGCTCCTAATCTCAGTTTGTTACCTGTATAAAAGACACCTGTCCACAGAAGCAATCAATCAATCAGATTCCAAACTCTCCACCATGGCCAAGACCAAAGAGCTCTCCAAGGATGTCAGGGACAAGATTGTAGACCTACTTAAGGCTGGAATGGGCTACAAGACCATCGCCAAGCAGCTTGGTGAGAAGGTGACAACTGTTGGTGCGATTATTCGCAAATGGAAGAAACACAAAAGACCTGTCAATCTCCCTTGGCCTGGGGCTCCATGCAAGATCTCACCTCGTGGAGTTGCAATGATCATGAGAACGGTGAGGAATCAGCCCAGAACTACACAGAAGGATCTTGTCAATGATCTCAAGGCAGCTGGGACCATAGTCACCAAGAAAACAATTGGTAACACACTATGCCGCGAAGGACTGAAATCCTGCAGCGCCTGCATGGTCCCCCTGCTCAAGAAAGCACATATACATGCCCGTCTGAAGTTTGCCAATGAACATCTGAATGATTCAGAGGAGAACTGGGTGAATGTGTTGTGGTCATATGAGACCAAAATGGAGCTCTTCGGCATCAACTCAACTCGCCGTGTTTGGAGGAGGAGGAATGCTGCCTATGACCCCAAGAACACCATCCCCACCGTCAAACATGGAGGTGGAAACATTATGCTTTGGGGGTGTTTTTCTGCTAAGGGGACAGTACAACTTCACCGCATCAAAGGGACGATGGACGGGGCCATGCACCGTCAAATCTTGGGTGAGAAACTCCTTCCCTCAGCCAGGGCATTGAAAATGGGTCGTGGATGGGTATTCCAGCATGACAATGACCCAAAACACATGGCCAAGGCAACAAAGGAGTGGCTCAAGAAGAAGCACATTAAGGTCCTGGAGTGGCCTACCCAGTCTCCAGACCTTAATCCCATAGAAAATCTGTGGAGGGAGCTGAAGGTTCGAGTTGCCGAACATCAGCCTCTAAACCTTAATGACTTGGAGAAGATCTGCAAAGAGGAGTGGGACAAAATCCCTCCTGAGATGTGTGCAAACCTGGTGGCCAACTACAAGAAACGTCTGACCTCTGTGATTGCCAACAAGGGTTTTGCCACCAAGTACTAAGTCATGTTTTGCAGAGGGGTCAAATACTTATTTCCCTCCTTAAAATGCAAATCAATTCATAAAATTTTTTTTCTGGATTTTTGTTGTTGTTATTCTGTCTCTCATTGTTCAAATAAACCTACCATTAAAATTATAGACTGATTATTTCTTTGTCAGTGGGCAAACGTACAAAATCAGCAGAGGGATTATTTCCCTCACTGTATGTACATGTAGGTTGGGGTAAATTGACTAGATAATAAACAGAGAGTAGCAGCAGCGTATGTGAACAGTGTGAATGTATGTATGTCCGTGTGTCTTGGAGTGTCAGTGTAGTATGTGTGAGTGTGTGGGTAGAGTACAGTGAGTGTACATGGAGCCTGTGCAAGTCAGTGCAAAAAAATAGTAATAAAATGTAGTCATACCTCAGAACAGTTACTTTGGTTGACACCATGCAGCTACTTTAATGTCATCACACTTGGGAGAGCTTAACAGAGGGCATTAATTTTACTTATTTTCTGTATTTAATAGAGATAATACCGCTGTATATTGAGACAATATACTACTTTGCCAGTAGGTGTCATTATATCATCCACCCAGACTATTACCAAATGGCAGGGTTCCCCAACTGGTGGCTTTTTTTTTAGCCAATGTATTTTTACATAAAAATATTTTGGGGTTGGATATAAAATACTGGAAAAAAAACAGCAAATCAGCTCTAAGTGATTTTATTTAGAAAATCTGTTCCAAAGTATTCCCACACATAATAGATCCAACCCCAAAATATATGTGATCGTATACAAAGTTTGAAGGTGTGCAAGGTTTGAAATTATTATGTGTTTGTGCTTCTTGCGGTCAATTTGCAGTCTAAAAATTATTTTTTATTATGATCGGGCCCCCTGACCATCCGCTCAAGAAGGAGTTGGCACGTGTCTAAATCTAGTTGATGATCCTTGCCCATGGAATACTCTAGAGTAGAGCTCCCCATGCCTAGTCACAGGCTGTGGCCTGATTCTCTATCCCCAAAGTGTGTGCTCACAAACTCCCCCTCATGGATTTAAAAGGAATGGACTGGTGTATGGTAGAAACTCCCTCTTGAAGAAAAGGAGGGTGATATGCATATCATAAACCTGCGAATACCGGTGCTGGACTAAATAATATTACTGAGATAAAGGAATGAGATGCCCGCACACAGAATATGGCTGCTCCCCAGTGCGTTATTCCTGCACCCAAATTTATTGTGTATTTGGGTGCAAAAATAAGCACTAGGGAGCAGAAATATTCTGTGGCTGGCCTCTCATTCGTTTATCTCAGGGAACTCCCCTTTGCCCATGCTTGCACCAATCCAATGCTTTTAAAACCTTGAGAGGGAGTGGATGAGTGCACACTTCAGGGGAAAGGCTAGAGAGACACAACATAGAATCTCCCACTTTGTGTACAGAGCTACAGGGTATATCTGAATAGATTAAGATGGCTTTCTCTCCTTGTCTCTTCTCTATTTTACAAGGTAAACAAGCTAGTTGTAAGCAATATGCCACTTTTGATATGTTCTGCCAGTATGCGTGCCCTTCCTCCACCCTGCCCTGGGTATGGGTACAAGTTTCCCTTAGGCACAGATCTAGGATCAGCGTACCCTCCTTAAATCCTATATTAGCAGGGAGGGATGCAAAACTGAAGGATGCTAAACTGACTTCAGATCAGTGTTGAGGGGCAACTTCATCTTACTACTTCCCTGACCTGCTTGGCGGGTGTGGCTCAGCCTGGAGTTCCTAAAACCGAGGCACATGGGAGATTAAGTCAGCCTGGGTCGAGCTGTGGATTACATCACCAGGTTCTCTACGAACTGGGAAATGGGAACAAGACGTGCTGGAGAGGTGGAGGAGGGTCCAACCAGGGGCCAGCAGGGGAGTATTGCCTTTCACAAAGCCTGACCTCGTGTGTGTGTGTGTGTGTGATTGATTGCAATGGATCGTCCAAATCCTTGGGCTTGTTTCTCATTTCTATTGTATTGTGACTTGCATAATAGTAAATGAGGTATGTGATGAAAAATGGTAGATTATAGAAACTACCCTAAACTACCTTAACATTAATCTCTCCGGGGAGCTCCTCCACCCATTGGCTATAGAGTATTTATCTAGCTCCAACATTTGGGGGGAGGGGGCCTCTTGAAGTATGTGTATTTTTTAATGTACACACTGCAGTGTTTGTAGTCATTCAACTGTGCCTGATATTGCCATTTGAGTGTTGAGCTTTTGCTGCACAAAAAAGCGTTCCTTTTCATTCCGGCCTGCGAACACGAAATGCGAGAACAGAAATGTGTTTGGTCATTAAATATTGAAACTGACAGAGCATGCGTGGTTGGAATCTGCTGGAGTCTGCCTGCCTTCCCCCCTCTTTTTTTCTCTCTCACTAGCAATATATCTTTCCCCTGTCCTACTATCCAGGGTTGGAATTGCTAGAGTCTGCTGACTTATCTCCTTTTCATCACTTTATCTTTATTTTTCTGGGCCTTTTACCTGAATTATCCGTTTCATTAGTGTGGAGATAAGGCTAGCTTAATTTGAACTAATGCAAGGTGTTGTTGGAATGTTAAAGATCTCTCTATGTCTCAAAGGGCTCTTGTCAAGCAGTACATAAAGTAATGGTACCACCTTACGATGAAGGCACTTTACTGACTCATCCACAATGTGTATCAGGACCAAACCAGTGAGAGGGTTGGAGCCTCCCAGTTCTTCCCTTGAAAACACAATGAGCAGCAGCATAGACTTGAGCACATAGATGGGCTCAACTTTGTACATGGGGTGGGGGGGGGGGGGGGGGGGGGGGGGGGGGGGGGGTCATTGACCAGTGGATGTGGTAGAGTGAGAGAGAATGAGTATGTTTTCAAAGCTCTTACTCTCACCGCTATAGAAAACGCAAAGGGGAAAGAGAGGTCATAGACATCCAATAAAGGTCATCCTCTGCCAATTACTCAGAGATGTGAGATAGGGAAATGTAAACAAGCAAGGGTGGGTGTTCTTAAAGGATTCATTTGGCTAAATACCTCCCTCCCTTGGCAGCTAGCAGTGCAATAATTTTCCAATTTCCCTGTTTTCTTTTGTTAGGGTTGGGTTTCCTGAAAACTGGGTAGATCTATGCACTTAATACATTGTTTATAATACTATAATAGCCTGTGTCCGAATGTAGTACCTATTTAAAATGCTCTGTTTGTGTATCTGTGTGGACTGTGATTCAGAAATGTGCTGTAGTAGTTTGTCAAAAATGTAACGCAACATGAAACAATTTCAAATATTTTACTGAGTTACAGAGTTCATATAAGGAAATCAGTCAATTTAAATACATTCATTAGGCCCTAATCTATGGATTTCACAAGACTGGGCAGGGGCGCAGCCATGGGTGGGCTGGGAGGGCATAGGCCCACCCACTTGGGAGCCAGGTCCACCTGCTGGGGAGCCAGGCCCAGCCAATCAGAATTCATTTTTCCCCACAAAAGGGCATTATTACAGACAGAAATACTCCTCAGTTTCATCAGCTGTCCGGGTGGCTGGTCGCAGATGATCCCGCAGGTGAAGAAGCCGGATGTGGAGGTCCTGGGCGTGCGTGGTTACACGTGGTCTACGGTTGTGAGGCCGGTTGGAAGTACTGCCAAAGTCTCTAAAATGATGTTGTAGTCGGCTTATGGTAGAGAAATGAACAATCAATTCTCTGGCAACAGCTCTGGTGGACATTCCTGCAGTCAGCATGCCAATTGCGCGCTTCCTCAAAAGTTGAGACATCTGTGGCATTGTGTTGTGTGACAAAACTGCACATTTTACAGTGGCCTTTTTATTGTCCCCAGCACAAGCTGCACCTGTGTATTGATCATGCTGTTTAATCAGCTTCTTGATATGCCACACCTGTCAGGTGGATGGATTGTCTTGGCAAAGGAGAAATACTCACTAACAAATTTGTGCACAACATCTGAGGGAAATATTATTTTTGTGCGTATGGAACATTTCTGGGATCTTTTATTTCAGATCATGAAACATGGGACCAACACTTTATTTAGTAGATTTGTAATTTTCAGTGTTTTTTCTGTTTTATACACCTTGGTGTGTATCCTATATTTACAATGTCAGTATTGATAACATTTTAGTTATTTATATAGTTTATTTGTCAGGGACAATGCACAATAATCAACATATTCGACAGCACTGAGGTGTAACAGTGTCAGAGTTAACTAGACAGCAATTTTTTATTTATTAGTGGGTGGTCTGTATTTTCTAGGCTTTTTTATCCTGTATTCCCAAAGCTCAGACACTCTGTGCTCAACTTGATAATGCATAGCCTAGTGTACCATTATTAGTCATTTAGCAGACGCTCTTATCCAGAGCGACTTACAGGAGCAATTAGGGTTAAGTGCCTTGCTTAAGGGCACGTCGACAGATTTTTCACCTAGTCGGCTCGGGGATTAGAACCAGCGACCTTTCGGTTACTGGCGCAACGCTCTTACCCACTAAGCTACCTGCCGCCAGTAGAATTACTTGTATTTAATTGAAAGGGAAAACAGTAGGGAAATATCAATGCACCCTTGTAAGAGAGAATGAGACATCTCTTCCATGGCAACGATAGATACATCTCTCTTTTGTTGTTAGTCAATTTCCTCCATCCTAGCCTCCAACGCAATATGTTTTCCCGGCAGTCTCAACACAGACGCTCCTTGAAAAAAGCTTCCGACTGCCAGCCGGTGCGCCTTCCTGCTCACACTCATCCAGTAAGAATGGAGTGATGGGCCCTCAGTGGACCATAATGCATTTAGTGACCTCTTGATTCACTAGAATACAGCATGAGGGATTTAACGTACAGACTGAGAGGAAGGGCAAAATAGGGCCTCTGGTGTTAGCTCATTGCTTGCATCCATGAGACGATTACAACCAACATTAATTGATCCCATTGTGTTTGCGTTATGCTGGGGACGCAAAACATGTGGCCTATTACAGACAAATCTTGTCTGTAGATGGCAATACATATTGCCATGTCTGTCAATGCATTGACACCAGACTTGGGTCAAATAGATTGTTTTATACATTGCCTGCCCTTTTTTTTTTTTTTTTATATATATATTTTTTTATTGTTCATATTTTATTTTTGGGGGATAGATCAGCTTTAATATTGCAGATACAGTGGGGGAAAAAAGTATTTAGTCAGCCACCAATTGTGCAAGTTCTCCCACTTAAAAAGATGAGAGAGGCCTGTAATTTTCATCATAGGTACACGTCAACTATGACAGACAAAATGAGGAAAAAAAATCCAGAAAATCACATTGTAGGATTTTTAATGAATTTATTTGCAAATTATGGTGGAAAATAAGTATTTGGTCAATAACAAAAGTTTCTCAATACTTTGTTATATACCCTTTGTTGGCAATGACACAGGTCAAACGTTTTCTGTAAGTCTTCACAAGGTTTTCACACACTGTTGCTGGTATTTTGGCCCATTCCTCCATGCAGATCTCCTCTAGAACAGTGATGTTTTGGGGCTGTCACTGGGCAACACAGACTTTCAACTGCCTCCAAATATTTTCTATGGGGTTGAGATCTGGAGACTGGCTAGGCCACTCCAGGACCTTGAAATGCTTCTTACAAGGTTTTCACTCAAAATCTCACGATACATGGCCCCATTCATTCTTTCCTTTACACGGATCAGTCGTCCTGGTCCCTTTGCAGAAAAACAGCCCCAAAGCATGATGTTTCCACCCCCATGCTTCACAGTAGGTATGGTGTTCTTTGGATGCAACTCAGCATTCTTTGTCCTCCAAACACGACGAGTTGAGTTTTTACCAAAAAGTTATATTTTGGTTTCATCTGACCATATGACATTCTCCCAATCCTCTTCTGGATCATCCAAATGCACTCTAGCAAACTTCAGACGGGCCTGGACATGTACTGGCTTAAGCAGGGGGACACGTCTGGCACTGCAGGATTTGAGTCCCTGCCGGCATAGTGTGTTACTGATGGTAGGCTTTGTTACTTTGGTCCCAGCTCTCTGCAGGTCATTCACTAGGTCCCCCCGTGTGGTTCTGGGATTTTTGCTCACCGTTCTTGTGATCATTTTGACCCCACGGGGTGAGATCTTGCGTGGAGCCCCAGATCGAGGGAGATTATCAATGTATGTCTTCCATTTCCTAATAATTGCTCCCACAGTTGATTTCTTCAAACCAAGCTGCTTACCTATTGCAGATTCAGTCTTCCCAGCCTGGTGCAGGTCTACAATTTTGTTTCTGGTGTCCTTTGACAGCTCTTTGGTCTTGGCCATAGTGGAGTTTGGAGTGTGACTGTTTGAGGTTGTGGACAGGTGTGAGAGCCAGAAATCTTGCTTGTTTGTAGGTGACCAAATACTTATTTTCCACCATAATTTGCAAATAAATTCATAAAAAATCCTACAATGTGATTTTCTGGGGAAAAAAATCTCCATTTGTCTGTCATAGTTGACGTGTACCTATGATGAAAATTACAGGCCTCATCTTTTTAAGTGGGAGAACTTGCACAATTGGTGGCTGACTAAATACTTTTTTTTCTCCACTGTATACAGGCCCGTCTGAAGTTTGCCAATGAACATCTGAATGATTCAGAGGAGAAATGGGTGAAAGTGTTGTGGTCAGATGAGACCAAAATCAAGCTCTTTGGCATCAACTCAACTCGCCGTGTTTGGAGGAGGAGGAATGCTGCCTATGACCCCAAGAACACCATCCCCACCGTCAAACATGGAGGGGGAAACATTATGCTTTGGGGGTGTTTTTCTGCTAAGGGGACAGGACAACTTCACCGCATCAAAGGGACGATGGACGGGGCCATGTACCGTCAAATCTTGGGTGAGAACCTCCTTCCCTCAGCCAGGGCATTGAAAAATGGGTTGTGGATGGGTATTCCAGCATGACAATGATCCAAAACACACAGCCAAGGCAACAAAGGAGTGGCTCAAGAAGAAGCACATTAAGGTCCTGGAGTGGCCTAGGCAGTCTCCAGACCTTAATCCCATAGACAATCTGTGGAGCTGAAGGTTTGAGTTGCCAAACGTCAGGCTTGAAACCTTAATGACTTGGAGAAGATCTGCAAAGAGGAGTGGGACAAAATCCCTCCTGAGATGTGTGCAAACCTGGTGGCCAACTACAAGAAACGTCTGACCTCTGTGATTGCCAACAAGGGTTTTGCCACCAAGTACTAAGTCATGTTTTGCAGAGGGGTCAAATACTTATTTCCCTCATTAAAATGCAAATCAATTTATAACATTTTTGACATGCATTTTTCTGGAATTTTTTGTTTTTATTCTGTCTCTCACTGTTCAAATAAACCTACCATTAAAATTATAGACTGATCATGTCTTTGTCAGTGGGCAAACGTACAAAATCAGCAGGGGATCAAATACCTTTTTCCCTCACTGTATATGGAGGCTGAAAAACCCTGACCTAGTGAGTTATACATGGAGGAGGCTTAATCAAGCCCATGACAGTTTGTTAGGTGTTGTTTTGACTTGGAATTGTGGGCCTTTTCTCTCTCTGTAGGAAGATGTGGCTGAGGAAGGTGGGGAGTCCCAGCTCACGCATTGACCACGCCGAGTTCTCTAACGAGAGGGACATCCCCAAACTGGAAATCCATGGCTTTGGCACTCACTACTGAGCGCCAGAGCAGCGACAAAGCACAGCAGCAGCAAGTATCCACCCCGAGGCCTGCCCCAAAGGAATTAGTAGCATTTCAACTTCTAAGGTGGTTGATTTGTCCTGTAATATTCACATCTTCACAGTTTAAAATGTCATTCTAAAGCCTGTTATGCCATTTATTTATTGTTTGAAGAATAGTCATTTGAATGATACCCAGAAATGTTATAGTTGTATTATAATATGTTATCATGTAACCCACAGAAGAAGTTCAACATGAGTAGTTTGCTAAATGCAACTTTTAAATTGCACTTAAATGCCATGTATGTCAATAATAGTCAACCTTTAAAATGTTGAGTTCATCCCATCACAAAGACAGAAATAAAATAATTTAGTGAAACCACTGTGTGAACATGTTCAGTAGTTTTAAATATTTAAGATGTTTTGATGAGGTTCTGCAGTTATTTTTCTCAACATATACTCACCGGACAGTTTATTAGGTACACACATCTAGTACTGGGTCGGACACCCCTTTGCCTCCAGAACAGCCTGAATTCTTCAGGGCATTCTACAAGGTGTCGGAAACGTTCCACAGGGATGTTGGTCCAAGCTGACGCGATGGCATCAATCAGTTGCTGCAGATTGGACGGCAGTACATTCATGCTGCGAACAGCCCGTTCCATCTCATCCCAAAGATGCTCTATTGGGTTGAGGTCTGGGGACTGCGCACGCCTCTCAAGTATGAACTTGCTGTCATGTTCCAGGCGATGTTTTCCACTCCTCAATTTTCCAGTGTTGGTCATCGCGTGCCCATTGGAGCCGCTTCTTCTTGTTTTTAGCTGATAGGAGTGGAAACCGGTGTGGTCATCGGAGCAATAGCCCATCCGTGACAAGGATCAACGAGTTCTGTGTTCCGAGATACCGTTCTGCACACCACTGTTGTACTGCACCGTTATTTGTCTGTTTGTGTCGCGCCTGTTAGCTTGCACGATTCTTGCCATTATCCTTCGACCTCTCTCGTCAATGAGCAGTTTTTGCCCACAGGACTGTCACTGACTGGATGTTGTTTGTCGCACCATTCTCGGTGAACACTGTCGTGTGTGAAAAGCCCAGGATGGCGGCAGTTTCTGAGATATTGGATCCGGCACGCCTGGCACTGACGATTATACCACACTCAAAGTCGCTTTGGTCACTTGTTTTGCCCATTCTTTATTTTATTTTATTTTATTTTGTACTTTTTACCCTTTTTTCGTGATATCAAATTGGCAGTTACAGTCTTGTCCCATCGCTGCAACTCCAGTACGGACTCGGGAGAGGCGAAGGTCGAGAGCCATGCGTCCTCCGAAACACGACCCTACCAAGCCCACTGCTTCTTGACACACTGCTAGCTTAACCAGGAAGCCAGCCGCACCAATGTGTCGGAGGAAACACCGTACAACTGGCGACCGAAGTCAGCGTGCATGCACCCGGCCCGCCACAAGGAGTCGCTAGAGCGCAATGGGACAAGGACATCCCGGCCGGCCAAATCCCCCTAACCAGGACGACGCTGGGCCAATTGTGCGCCGCTTCATGGGTCTCCCGGTCGCGGCCGGCTGCGACACAGCCTGGGATCGAACCCTGGTCTGTAGTGACGCCTTAAGCACTGCGATGCAGTGCCTTAGACCGCTGCGCCACTCGGGAGGCTGTTTTGCAAATTCTAACGTTCAATCGAACAGTAACTGAATGCCTAGATGCCTGTCTGCCTGCTTTTTGTACAGTGCCTTCAGAAACTATTAACACCCCTTCACTTTTTCCAAATGTTGTTGTATTACAGCCTGAATTTTTTATGGATTAAATTGAGATTTTTTGGTCACTGGCCTACACACAATACCCCATAATGTCAAAGTGGAATTTTTTTCAACCCCTTTGTTATGGCAAGCCTAAATAAGTTTGAATGACTACCTTATCTCTGTACCCCACACATACAATTATCTGTAAGCTCCCTCAGTCAAGCAGTGAATTTCAAACACAGATTCAACCACAAAGATACAGGTGTCCTTCCTAACTCAGTTGCCGGAGAGGAAGGCAACCGCTCAGGGATTTCACAATTTAATCAATTTTGAATTCAGGCTGTAACACAACAAAATGTGGAGTAAGTCAAGGAGTATGAATACTTTCTGAAGGCACTATAGCAAGCCACGGAAAATGGAGCGATCCATTTTCATGAACGGGTGTTACCTAATAAACTGGCCAGTGAGTGTATAATTGAATTTGATCATTATAGAGTGCCCTTCATACAAGTTCACCACACCAATGTCCATGATCCAAATAACAACATTAATGTTATTGTTTTGGGATGTAGGTTACAGTAGAGTAAAATCATCACAAGCTGTGAGCCTGTACAGTCATCACAAGCTGAAAGCCTGCCTATTTGAGCGAGACATAGGGCTCCACCTGTGGGAGAAATCAACCAATCGTAGCAGTGCTTTGCCCTCCTCACAACTCTGTTTCCTAGGCAAGGATAGCCGGCCTCTGTAAACATCCATTAAAGGGAAACTTTTTCACCGCTTTGTGATTTTTCAGACATAATTATGCATTATAGTTGTATTTTTTTTATTTTTGCGCCGGGAGAGTTCAACCAATGATTTCATTGGTTGATTGAGCCTGCTGTCTGATTTAAAAATGAATGCAGTCATGTTTTTTAGCAATTATTGTGGCCTTTTTGTTTCGCCGATTGCACGATCACGTTAGTAGATATGGTTGTCCTTGTCCTTTCAACGTTCATTGGACTTGTCTCCTATCTGCCAGGACATTGCAGGATATCTAGGTTGTCTCATTTTCCATGGCTTTGTAAAGACTATAGCCTGACAGGAGCCATATTTCCTTGTTCCCACCCTCGAAGGCAGGCTTTTCAAAACGGGGGCGGTACTTATTTACAGGTTAACTTGGTGTATTGGTGATTTTGTTTTCTCAAGAGGGTATTGTGCTTTCATAAATACCTTTGGCTGTCGGCTTGTTTCAAAGTCAGATCATGTTGAGCTTGAGCTTATTCCAGGCTGAAAGCTTTCATCCAATGGATCTACAGGCTCTGTACTACTTAAACTGGTGTCAAGGTCATCGTTATCAGCAGCGGGATTAGTCTGTAGGACACACAGTCTGTGATTAGCCAACATTTTACTACTTTGTCCCCATCAATACACACTCAAACAATGTACTATATTCACCCACCCCCCTCATGTCAATAGATCATGCATACTAACCTTCACACACAATACCCACCACCAACAGACACCAGTCAGTCAGCCACACCATCCCCTCCTTACTAATACCTCCTTTTCTCCAATTTAGACTTCAAGTCTTGCATGTACAATCAACTCAGCCTCTAGAATACAGAGAAAGTTACAGTAGAAGTTGTAGCATACTTGTAAACACACCAACTATGACAAGAAGACACGGACCATGTTTATGCCTAGCTCCAGTATTTTGCTCATCATGGAGTCATGGAAAGATTGAGTTGATTTTAGTAAGATTTTAGAAGATAATTAACACTAGTTCCTAGTGCTGAGCTTGACACTGATGCCTCTGCAGATTTTGAGGGGATCGGACTCTAAATAGAACACAGTCACGTTAGCCTCTGCGGTAGACATGGCAACCCCATTAGTTGAGACTTCAGTTTCGTTTCAAAATCTTCTGGTTGAAAGAGATGGCTACAAACAGACATTATGATATTTCTCATACCTCCATGGGGCGGTCCTCCGCGTCCTGAAATCGCTATGAATTCTGGATATTGTGGTTTGCTTACAACCAGGCAATGTAGCTGGCCCGTTTCTATCAGCGAGATGCAGAAACGCTCGTATTTAAGTGTAGTAAGGAAATTCTAAATTTTTGCGACACATATGATATGTTAATAACATATTAATGGACATATATAGTGAAATAGAGCAGTGGGGAAATTTGCCTTTAAAGGGTGACTGCACTTCCTGATTTGGCATTGTTTTTCATCAATGCTCATTAAGAAATGCTAGGGGCCATGACTGAAAGCAAACAAGAGTTGTCTTGGGGGTGTGGTTTGATCTAGGTGTTTCTTGGGTGTATCTTTGCCATTCAATCACAACAAAGGGCAGTAGTGAGTACAGCGAGGTAAGCTAAGCTTGCTTTGCTATGGAGAGAATGAAGTTTTGAAGTTGAGGACTTCTCCCCTCCTAACTGACTCGCCATATCAAAATGGTCAGCTAATTCAGTTCTGTGTAGGCAAAAGCCTGCCCTGACCTTATGTTTAGCCAAGCTGACAGCAGCTAGCTAGCATAGATTGCTGATAGCTGCAGCTGGCTAGCCTATCTAGCTGATATTTCTCTGTCAAATCAGTTATGGCTAGATATCAAGTGCCAGTGTCTGGAATGTGTTTCATGAGACACTCGTTCTACAACACCTTGCTACATCATGTAAATACATGTTACCATGGAAACTATCAACTGCGAGTTGAATGCCCGGTCTTGAATCAGCTCAGCTGTCCTAGAACACAATATTCTATAACTGGCTAGTTTTGTCTCATCTCGTCTCTCCTTATGTCCGCCGTTAGATCTTTCCCTGGGGACAAATCCCAGACCCACTGGACACAGACGTCAATTCAACGTCTATTCCACATTGGTTCAATTAAATTTCATTGAAATGACATAGAAACAACTAGGAATGGGCATTTGAAATTATGGGATTGTTCGAGTACTCATATGATTTTTTTGGCAGTGCTCGAATATTTTTAGAACACAAGGCCCGCACTGGAAACAAATATGTGTGCATTTATCTAATGCCAACAGTGTGCAACAATGCTTAATTTATCATAACCATTACAGATAACACAACCTAATTCAGAGGGTAAATGGGCAAGAGTGCCTTTGAACAGGGTATGGTAGTAGGGGCCAGGCGAACCGGTTTGAGTGTGTCAAGAACTGTAATGCTGCTGGGTTTTTCACGCTCAACAGTTTCCCGTGTGTATCAAGAATGGTCCACCAGCCTACTTGGCACAACTGTTGGAAGCATTGGAGT